CCCTGCATTTTTATGCGAATCCAGCCGGGCGAAGAATACCCATGTATAAAATGCTGACTGGTGCATGTTAAATCTGCCGTCCTCTAAGTTCTCACAACAAATCAATACCTCTGGGTATTGATCCAGCTCTCTTGTCTTCTGGATTATGTTCAAAATTATAAGGTGATTATTCAATATTATACGGAGTTAAACATTTGTAGTCGTAAACTCAAAATTAAATCGGTTGTTCAACGGCGGTTATAAAAAAATAAAACTACTAATCAAATTGTATTTTCTTATGTTCTTTCTAACTGCTTGCTCATTTTTGACACACCTTCATAATTTCATGTTTCTAAGTCATAGAGCAGCAAAGCGAAATGTAACGTTAAAAAAAGAAAAAAAAAAAAAAAAAAAAAAAAAAAAAAAAAAAAAAAAAANTTTTTTGCAAAAAAAAAAAAAAACATTTAAAATTCCAAATAACATATATTCAGAATTTGAAAAAAAAAAACTCTGTTAAACATATAATGGTTCTTCTAACATGCCATATCTTCACTCTGTGCTTAAAATGTGCTTATGATGTTCTTAAAATGAGTTTCTGTTTTTTTCCTCGTTCAAAAAATATGTGCAATAATAGAAAGGCTCTACAATTTACTCCCATCACAATCAAGCAATATTATCAAATTTTTAATAATATAATGTTAATATTCAGCAGTAAAAAATACGACAGTTTACTTTAGGTGTATAGAAATAGAATTGAACTTAAAAGGGCCCCATCATTTTCAGTAGCTTAGGGCCCCGCCAAGCTTAAATCCGGCCCTGGCACCCACCATAATGTATATTTGTAACTATATTAGATTTAAGATATCAATAAAAACTAAGAAAAGAAAATAATTATGGATCGCATTTTTCTATCATCTTTAAGGATGATACAAATTTGTATTTTGTTATTGTTAATTTACGTCGCACTAGAGCTGCACAATGGGCTATTGGCGACTGTCTGGGAAACATCCCGGAGGATGATCCGAAGACATGCCATCACAATTTTGATCCTCTGCGAAAGGGGATTTGTATTTTGAAGCTTTGTGTAATCTGATCCTCTCTAAATCCGCTGCTTCTCCAAATTATTTGACGGTCTAATAAAGTATTTTGGAATACATTCGATGCAAATATGTCAAAAAATTTCACGCGACGTAGAAAATTAACCAGTAAATAAATCGTTTCATATTAACTTTACTTCAACAATGGTTTTATGATGTTTACTCGGTAACCTGTTGCACCAAAATGTTATTGTAATCTTCAATATCCTTATTAAAATATAGATAAGTCTCATGAGAGTATTCGCAATATTATTGTAAATATATAAATACATCACAGTTAATTTTAGATTAAACAATAGGCCATGCATTTTATGGAAAATTGTATTACCCTACATTTCTGGTGCATGTATTACGAATACGGTCGAGAATGAAAATAATAAATTGAAGAAACCGTAAAATACAAATTAAGCGTCCCGAAAATTTAAATGACCCGATGGGAAAGGGAAAGAAAAAAAAATCAATTTGGATTATTTAAGTCTTTATAGATAAATTGATATTAAATAGATAAATAAGAATTTATTTAACTAAGGTACCTTTTTCTTTTATATTCCTTAATAATGTTTTATTTTTATACGAATATAAAAAGTTTCCAATCTTAGAGCCTAAGAAAATAATTGATATAAAAATTTATAACATCGTTTTTAAGTATGCTAAACTAAAAAGCGCACACTCGCCGTTAGTACATAATTTCTATAATCTAAAGTTTCTCCCTAATTAGTTTGAGTAAAAGCTTAAGATTGACGTAATTCCCA